AAAAAAAAAAAAAAAGAAAGCTAAAAATGTCCATCTTCAAAAAAATAAGACTTGGGCTGGGAATTTAGCTCAGTGGTTCCGCCACCTGCCTCAAAAGCACAAGGTCCCAAGGTACCCATAGATAGATAGATACATAGATAGATAGACAGACAGACTTTATCCAGAAACTGAAGATGAAGCAGAAGTGGCAAGACAGAGATAGAATTCCAACTGATTCCTAAAGTCAAACAACAGCATAGTGCTAAGGAGGGAAAAATAAAGATGGGTTTAGGAAACTAGGATCTTGAGATAACAGCTGTTTTGCTTTGAGAATACTGGGGACTAACCCAGGGCTCTGCACTAACTGCATCTCCAGCTCTTTTTTTATTTTAAGAGCCACGGTCTCACTAAGCTGCTAAATTACTCAGGCTGGGCTCAACTTTATGATCCCCCTGCCTCAGCCTCCCATGAGCAAGTTTTTAAAATGCAGAGTGGCATACATACTTAGAAGGCTGAAAAGCAAATATTGGGGAATTTACTGTTTTCTAGTCAGTTCACAAACACACACACATATAAACACATCAAAAATTAAAACAGTGGGCCAGGAATCTAGCTCAGTGGTGCTGCCACCTGCCTCACAAGCACAAAGACCCGAGTTCAATACCCAGTACCAAAAAAAAAATCTACAACCAAGGTCCTTCTCAGAGGACACACTAATTTGAAAATGAGAATCTTTACTATAGGGCCAAAACACAAGTTCATACTGCTAAGAACTGATTTCAGCTGGGTGTGGTTGCCTGTAATCACAGCATTTGGGAGGCTGAGGCAGGAGGATCACAAGGAGTTTGAGGTCAGCATGGGCTATATAGTGATATAGTGAGTTCAAGGCCAACCTGGACTATATACTGAAACCCTATCTCAAAAAAAAAAGTTGATTTCTACAGAAATCAAAATTCATTCAGAAATCTAGGGCATCATTCACCTTATGGATTGGTATGAATTCTTTAAGTTTCACCATATCCAACGATTGTCTTGCCTTTCCAACTCCCCTTACTTTATAACATCCCTTATTGTACTCTCATAAAAAGAAACTTATACAAGTACAAATTTATAGATGGTTTTAGAAATATCAATATGGAAGAATTTTGCTTTTATATTTAAATGTTGGGTTAAAAACTAACCACACTCCTAAGTATATAAAGAGGTAACTATAGAAATGGAAATACGTCCACTCGAAAATTTATACATGAAGGCCAAGCATAATGGCACACGCCTGTAATCCCAGCACTCAGGAGGCTGAGGCAGTCCAAGTTCAAGGCCAGCCTGGGAGACACCACGAGTTCAGCGACAAGCTGAACTATAAAGCAAAGCCTTATCTCAAAATAAACAAACAGGGCCAAACAACAACACCGTGTGTGTGTGTGTGTGTGTGTGTGTGTGTGTGTGTGTGTGTGTGTGTGAACATTCATAACGGAATATTCCTTAAAGGGCATAAAGTAGAAACAGCTCAAATATCCATCAACTGGATTTAAGTGTTTTATACAAGGGCTGTGTGTGTAGCTCAGAGCTGGGAAAGCTTGCCTAGCACATTCAAGGCTCTGGGTTCAATCAGCAATAGCACCAAAACAAAGGGTCAGGGGATATAACAACACAATAAATTCAGCCACAAAAAGGAATGAAGTATTAAGACACACCACAAATACATCTTAAAAATACTACGCTAAGTGAAAAAAGCCAGAATAGGCAAAATTTATGGACAAAAGTATCTTAGTTAACAGGGGCTTAAGAAGGGAAGGAGAGAATGAGAAGTGACTTCTAATATACTGCCTTTCTTTCTGGGGTGATAAAAACATTCTGAAATTAGAGCAGTGGGTGACGTTTGCCTCGGTATGAAAAAAATCACAATTACATACTAGGCAAAAGGTAAAAATGTATGTTGTGTGAATTATACTTCAAAAAAATATGAAAAAGACTGAAAAAAAGCAAGCAAAACAGAAAATCTCTAAATGAGTATGCAAACATACAACCATATATATATATATATATATATATATATATCACTTCAGAAACTATTATCAATTGTCCTGACCACAAAAGACTATTCTCACCATAAATAATGAATGCCTTGTCTCAAGGGCCAATCAGAGCAGAGCTTCTCTAACTTACATCACTGAACTCCAGTGGTAAACTCTCAGTGGGCTGGAGCTCAGCAGCACTCAAGTACAGATCCATGGGGCCGGCTTCCAGATCGTCTGGCACAGACAGTACCTGCTCGGGCTTATACATCTGAGGAGGCAACTGGAAATGCAGTGGACAGCAGGGATCCTCAGAGAGGCTTACAGGAACTGCTTTGTTGCAGGGGACCTCTTCAGATCCCTGGCAGCATTTGAAAAGAACTTGATTTGTATCCTGACAAATATCTGCAGAAAAAGTCAAGGGAAATAAAACAGGCTCTACTGGAGAAACAAAATACAGGAGGTGCCTCCGTGTAAAACTAGAAGTCAAGTACACAGTAAATACAACTACATTTGACAGAGAAAACCAAATATACGTAGTAGTCTTTAAAGTTACTTCTCAAAAATAAACTTTTTTGTTGTTTCTGAGATAAGGTCTCACGCTGTAGTTCAGGTCAGCCATGAACTCACTCATGGTGATCCTCCTGCCTCAGTCTCCTGAGAGCTGAGATTACAGGTGTATGCCATAACTGACAATTCTCAAAATTTCAAGTGTCATTTCTGAGGATCTAAATCTGGCTATACCAGTAATTTAAACCAATCCCTCAGGAGAGGTCAAGGAGAAATAAAAGAACAAAGACGTGTTAGCTATATGTATCAACTCCCCACAATAAATGTACTATGTATTACAAACATGTACTAATAAAAAATTTAATAAATGTAATTCTAAAAAGAAAAAATAAATAGAAATAAACTTTTAAAAATAAAAAGAAACTTGGGCCGGGGGATTTAGCACAGCAATTCGGTGGCCTGCCTTGCAAGCCCAAGAACCCGAGTTCAATCCCCAGTACCAAAAAAAAAAAAAAAAAGAAACTTAGTCTTCAATCTGCTTTTCCTGTTCGCCTTATGACAATGCTAAGCAAGTAGCAATAATCCTACTAGGAACAAACATACACATATTCATAAGAAACATGCCACAGCAAACACAAACAGCTTACAAAAGCCTGGTTAACTTTGCAAAAACTTAAGACTTTGTTTTTGTAACACGATAAACTCATCTGAAGGAGCACAACTCAGGGGAAAATAGATAATAATATTCACTAGATATCATATCTTGACAAGAAATAAGTTTCCATCCCTCTTTTTTTTCCAAGAGGACGGTAGTACAGGGTAGTCCTGTTATGCAATCCTACAGAAAAGAATTTTACATGAGGGCCCACAGAAAACAATTACTCCTACAGTAACTTCTGCTAGGGGTAGAGACAAAAAAAATCTACATTTTCAACTTGACAAAGAAGCTCTCGGCAGGATGAACAAAACTTTTACATCACACTATGTATTTCATTTGATCGAATAAATTTCAAGTTGAAATTACTCTACAAAATAACATTTTCTTGAACTATCTTCTTAGTCTGTCTCCCTCAAGACACGTTCTTGCTAAGTCACTAAATTGCCCAAGGGGACCCAAACTTCTGATGCTCCTGCTTCAGTCTCCCAGAGTGCTGAGATTAGACACATGCCACCACTCTTGGCTTGAAAACTACATGGTTATTTTGCTGTGACTGATAAGTGAAGTGTCATTTTAAACTTGATCTCTTTTTTAAGTACAACTATCATTTTGGCAGAGAATCGAACTCAGGACCTTGCATTTGTCAGGCAGGCAGAGGCACCACTGAGCTAAATCCCTGGCCAACAACCATATCTTTAAATGAATTATAGTAGAATTATGGAGAAATTATGAATACTTTGTTTTTTGGGGGGTTTTGGGTTTTTTTTTTTTAAGTTTTTTTGAGACAGGGTCTCACCATGTAGTCCAAGCTGGCTTTCAACTCACTCTGTAGCCTGGCTTTGAACTCACAGCAATCCTCCTGCCTCACCCTTCCAAGTGCTAGGATTACAGGTGTGCACCACCACGCTCAGCTCTCATGTTCAATTTTAAGGTGATTTTTTAAAAATTAAGACACAATGTAAGTTATAATTCTGGTAAGATCTAGGACACTTAGCAGCACCAATGGCCTCTTATCCACTGCCACTAACACTCTACCTCCTGCCAAGTTAAGATACAACAACCAAAAATTTCTCCACACATCACCAAATGGAAGATAAAGGGGCCCATCTGAGAACTACTTGTTATAAGAGAGTACAAAGTAAATATTTAATGATCAAATATATTCTGAATGAATAAACACTAATATAACAGAATACTCCAACTTACGTGTTTAAGAGTATCTAAATAATAAGCTCAATAATATTTAAATTATCAATATCTACAACTTTAACCCACTAAATTCAATGTTTCAAACAACTTTTCTCAAGGAACTCAAAGGACTTTTACAAAAGTCTTTTAATATCACAAAAGCATAACAAAATCCTCTCCCATCCTCCTCCACCCCCTTTCCTTTCATATGGGGACTACAGAGACAAAAAGGGAATGGTTGACCTACAACTAGAGTTTGGTCCTTCACTTTCAGTCCAGTGCTGTCTCCATTAGACCAGAGTAAAAACTTAACAGTCACCAATGGCAGTCGAATCTTTCTCTGGGGTAAGGACTTAAGGAAGGGTAAATGACTTAGGCAACTATGGAGTAGAAAGGAAAAGAACATACAAGGTGAAAAGTAAAAAAAGAATTTCCTTCAATTCATAATTATATTTTATCTCCAAATTTGCTTTTTAAAATATCTTCCAGTACACTAAGTATAGCATTTTAAGAAATACAGTATCTATCAACAGAGGTTTTCTGTTAATTCCAGCTCAAAAAAAGTACTGCGTGAAAAAAAGGTATTCATAACCCCACCATGCAAATATTTGTTGTATTCGTTCCCAATAATTCCATAGTTATAGCCTACAAAAGTTGATACGGAAAAACAATCATATCCCATTTTTTGTCACTATCATATTCTTGTCATCCATTTTAATGCCTAAAAATATCCCAAATTATTTTGTGCCAAAATTTACTTCACTATTCCCTATCCCTATAAACTGGCTTGTTCATTTGTTTTTTGAGACAGGTTTCTGCTATGTAGTTCAGACCAGCCTTGAACTATGTATCTGGCCCAGGCTGGCCTCAAACTTGCAGTGATCCTCCTGCCTAGTGTTGGCATTGCAGGTGTGTGCCACTATGCCCATCTCGCCTATCTCTCAACATTTTAAGGCTGTCTCTAGTTAAGAATACTTTCTTAAAGAGTACTTTTTAGAGCCAGGCGTGGTGGCACACACCTGTAATCCCAGCAGTCGGGAGGCTGAGGCAGGAGGATCGCTGTGAGTTCAGACCAGCCTGGGCTACACAGTAAGTTGAGGTCAGTCTCAACTACATAGTGAGACCCTGTCTCAAAAAAAGAGTAATTTCTATAAAAATACTGGCCTGCATTTCATTATCTTCTCAAAAATAAATCCCCAGAAATAAAATTACCTGCCAAAGAACAGATTTTCAAACTGTTTTGTAATATATCCATGTAATACTCCTCTCTAGATCCATTTAACCTGTTAGAATTTTAGTGCTTTTAATTAACAAGTCACTATGATTTCTCTACCAAAACCAAAAGTTGATGTTGCACCCAACTACGGCCAATGCCATTTTCAATTTCATTCAAACTACAGCCTCCAAAAATGGGAAGCCTCCTTTTCCTTTCAATAAGTCAGCCTTTTAACTATTGTGGCTACAACCTCCTATGGGGATACATTTACCACTGGACTACAACTTTTTGTGTTTATTGGACCTTGAGTGCACCCTTATTACTTACAGGCCTTGAGAAACTTTTTAAATATTCACTGTTACATAAAGTGCCTAAATTTTGCTGAATTTGCCTGGCAAGATACACCAAATACTTAGAAATTAAAACAAATTTTCTTAGCCAGGTATGGTGGCATGTGCCTGTAGGCCAAGCTACTCAGATATGAATTGAGACATGAAGATCACTTCGTGTCTGAGGCCAGCCTGAACAACACAGTGAGTCTGGCTAAAAATAAATGAATAATCTTTAATAGAAACAGAACCTTGGCCTTTTTAAAATGAAATTCTATTTATTATTTTTTAATTAATTCTTGTTTTTGTTATTTAGCTTTTTTACAAGGTCTCGCTATGTAGTTCAGTCTGAACTTAAATTCTCCTCCTGCCTCAGCCTCCCGAGTGCTGGGATTACAGGTGTACACCACCACACACAGCTGGAAGACCTTGGTCTTTTGACAGGAAAACTGACTTTTTCAGTTTATTAAATATTTTAGCACTTTATTAACTGCTGTAATGTCTAATACAGGATTATTCTCCTTAATATATAAAATGCTTGTACAAATTAGAAACTCTGAAGATAAGTGCTTAAAATCTATGTGTACAGATATAAAAGGAAAGAAGTGGTAGATAGCTAAAAAGTGTTTATCTCATTCTAAATAAGGAAACACAAAATTTTAATCTCTAGGGCCAGGGATTTAGCTCAATGGTTCTGTCACCTGCCTTGGACCCGAGTTCGATCCCCAGTACCAAAAAAAAAAAAAAATTAATCTCTAGTTTTTATATTTGTACATTTTTAAATAAATTTAAAACTATAAAACTTATTTTTATTTTTGAGATAGGGTCTCACCGTGTAGTTCAGGCTGGCCTTGAACTCACTATGCAGCCCAGCCTAGCCCCAAACTTGCGGCAGTCCTCCTTTCTCCGCCTCCCAAGTACTCTTGATTATAGACCTGTACCACCACACCTGGCTTAAAACTTAATGTTTTTAGTTAGCTGTTTCTTTCTAATGAATTGACGATTACATGTCTGAAGTTCTGAAATAGTCAACAGACCACAGAAAGATACTACTTTAGGCTCCTGCTTGAAACCAACAGCATCAGAAAACTGCCGGCCTTGATTCAGGGCCATAGGAAAACTAAGACCTTCAATTAAGCAAATTAGGAGGGATTCCCACCAGCCCTTATATAACTAGCAAAAGGAAGCCTGAACAGGCAATTTAAAAAAGATACGAGTAAAGCAGTGTCTGGTCATTGGAAGAGACTGATTCGAACAACGAACATCATCCACAAAGGCCAAGCACCTCTGACTGGAACGAGTGGTATGGGCCTAAAATGGAGAAAGATAAATGCACAAAAGCATATAAAATTAATCATAATGAAAACAGTTAGGTATATACAAAAAGTACATCCTTAAAGGCTAATGAAAAATTTACATTCAACAAACTGAATCATTATGGCAAAAGAAAACAAAATTTAAAACCTCACATATGAAGAATGAGTCATCTTTCATCCCAAATACACCTCTCAAAACATGCAAGCATGCTACAGAAGTCTTTCCCTTATCTAAGGTTTCAGTTACCTTTGGTCAACCTTGATCTAAAAAGTGGGAAACTACAGGTATAAAGAATTAACTAGTTTTAAGTAACTTATTTTATACTGTCAGAATTGTCTTATTTTGTAATTAGTTACTTAATCACTGTGCCAAATTTATAAATTAATCATAGGTATAAAACTAGACTCTCACAGGTTTAGGGCTTGGGATTTACCTCAGTGGTTCTACCGCCTGCCTTGCAGGCGCAAGGTCCCAAGTTTGATCCCCAGTACCAAAAAAAAAAAAACCTCTCATATATATATATATATATATATGTGGTGAGTAAAATACATGGTAAATGTTTTTTTTTGTTTGTTTTTTGTTTGTTTTTTATTTTTTTTTTTTGGTACCGGGGATCGAACTCAGGTCCTTGCACTTGCAAGGCAGGCTACCAAACCACTGAGCTAAATCCCCAGCCCTACACAGTGAATGTTTAAATTTTTAAAATTTACCACAACAAATGTAATCACTGCATATTGCAAACATGTACTAGTAAAATTTTTAAAAATAAATTTTTGTGCGTGGTACAGGGATCAAACTCAGGACCTTACAATTGTGAGGCAGGTGCAGCACCACTGAGCTAAATCCCCAGCCCAAAAATTAAATTTTTATTTTATTATAATAAATGAACCATTGCCATTAATATTCAAAATACTTCCCTTGCTTCCAAACACACTTATCCCATCATTCTTGCCTTTTTTTTTTTTTTTGCAGTGCTAGAGATTGAACCCAGAGCTTGGTGCGTGCTAGGCAAGTG